TGCTGCAGGAAGGACAAGATGAAGCGAAGCCAGGAAGGGAATGGCAAAGCAAGAGAAGTAAGTGTGGACTGTACGGTGCCCTGGCTTGGAATCACGCATTCTGCTGAAGGTTTTTTTGTTGTTGTTGTTTTTTTCATAGTTTTAGGGTCGGAAGGGACCTCATAGATCTTCTAGCCCGCCCCCCCGCCAGGGCGGGAGAACAACAAAAGAACCCTAAAAACAAAAACGGGACTCAAATGAGTCCAGCCAGGTAGGTATCCAGCCTCTTCTTAAAGATCCCCAGGGTAGGGGCCAGCACCACCTCCCTTGGAAGTTGGTTCCAGCTCCTAGCCGCCCTAACTGTGAAGTAGTTTTTTCGGATGTCCAATCTGTACCTCCTCTCCATCAACTTGTGCCCATTACTCCTTGTTATGCCAGCGGGGGCTAGGGGAAACAGCGTCTCCCGCAAACCCTTCTGGTTCCCCCTAGTGAGTTTATAGACGGTCACCAGGTCCCCAACCCAGGTTGTCCTTGGGTTGCCTCTCCATGTTCCCCGCTGTGGGATGCATTGTCTCATAGATTGTCAGGGGCTGGAAGGGACCTTGTAGATCATCGGGTCCAGGCCCCCTGCACTAGGCAGGAAAAGACAACTGGGGTCAAGTGACCCCAGCGAGGTGACTAGCCAGTCTCGGTGCAGCTCTGAGGTGTGGCCAGATGTGTGTATATAGTAACTTCAGAAGTGGAGGGGCTGCCACCCAGGAGCGTGCAGTAGCTCTTCTAGAGCCAACGTGTCCTCAGCAACGGGCCTTAGACGCATCCTAGCTGCAGAACTCTGTCAAGCTGCTGATGGAGCACCATATGGACTCGCTTCTGTGCAGTGGTGTTCTGCGCCTGTCTTCAAGATCTGAGGCCCAGTTGGACAAAGTACTCAAGTCCCTCATCCCACCTTCCTGAATGAGACTACTGATTGCCTGCGGCAGAAGTTGGCCTATGCAGAGGCTCCTCAAAGGAGAAAGGAAGGTTGCTTACTTGTAATTGGAGGTCTTGGATCTGAAGAGCTAGTGGAAGGAATTCAGGTAGCCTGGTGCAGGCCCCTTTGTCCCCTCACCCTGGGGGTGTTCAGGAGAAGCGATGAGGAAGGCCGTGGTAGTGGAGGAGCGGTGGTGAGGGACCCCGCGGTCTAGGTGCAGCTGTCTGGCTAGTACTTGGGCAGTGCACTTCAGGAGTGGGAATATGCAGAGTCCATTTCGAGGAGTCTCGGTCACAAGGAAGCATTTTTTCAGGGTGATGTAATTTGCCCACACAAGCTAAACTAATAAAAAACAGATTGAACCCAATCAATCAACCTTTGTGTGCAGATGCTCCAGGCTGGAAGTATGATGTTAAATGGATTAAGCAAGTTCATTACTACGTCTTTAAAGGGATGCCACTCCTGTGCAGAAACGAACTCTGGAATTCATTACATGATTTATTCAGCTGCTTTGGGGGGGGACCTGACATCACAGGTGGTTGCGTAGCACTTAGTGAGTATACTGTGGTGAAGTTTCCTGGATAATAGAGCTAAGGCACACGTTTGCTGCCATACAATTAGCTTGAGTAGTAAGATGCATGCTTCTGAGGTTCACTTAACAGGTTGTACTGTGCTCAGAGTAGGGGCGGTCTTCTGTGTTCGGAGAGCTCCCACACATTATGGGCACTACTATACTATATGTGGGCACTGGTGATTGACTGTATTACAATTAAATAAAGCAATTAATTATTTCTTAGTTGGAAGGGTAAGGAGTGTGGTTTTGGGCTCCATGGCAGCACAGGCATTCTTCCCCAGTCCCTTTGTTAACAATTTTCAGTAATTTTTTCAAGGGCTGGCATACTCAGATTTCACTTGTGTTTTTCCCTGCAATTTCTCACTCAGTGCTTTTAATTAACAGCCTAGAGTGCTGAGGTTTATTAATGATGACGTACATACTGTTTGAGTGAGAGATGTTCTAAAGTATTTATTAAAAACTATCTAAAAATCTTTGCTTAGACATTCATAGACCCACTAATTATGCTGTCATCTGCTCTCCTAATCTAGAAAGGATCCGACCACCAAATAAAATCCAGGTGCCACTGGCAGTACTGTTGGTGAGTCAAGAGGTGGAGGCGCTCTGTCAGAATCCGTTCTGAGCCAGGACCCCGGTGCAGACCTAGGAAGCACTGTGCTCCCACACTTAAATACTTCAGAGTAAAGCTTACACCTGAGGGCCCCTAAGAACTGTGGTCCTGGCAGATCTCTCAGCACATGCACAGCAGGACAGGTGCTATCCTAGGTGACTACAACCACTTTACCCCTTGCTGGCTGATTTTCTTTTTCTTAAAAAAAAACCCAAAAAAACCCAGGAAAAGCATAGTTTTATATCGCACAAACTCGCCCCTAAGTATATGCCAACCTTCTCTTAAAACAGATATTTCCTCAGGTGTGGAGCCATTGGGCAGTTAAACAGCTTCCATTTTCATAGGTGTACAGTGCTGTGATGTGTTTCCAGGTGTGGATGTTAACTGGTGATGAGCTGGACCCTGCTGCAAATTCCACTGGAAGGATTCCTTAGGGGATTCCTTAGCACAGGGGTGGGCAAAATGTGGCCCGGGGGCCAGATGCGGCCCGCCCGGCCATTCTAGCCGGTCCACGGGGCCCCTAAAAAATTTAGAAAATTAATATTTATCTGCCCCTGGCTGCCTGTCACGTGGCCCTCAATGGCTTGCCAAAACTCAGTAAGCAGCCCTCCGCCCAAAATAATTGCCCGTCCCTGCCTTAGCATGTCTAGCTTCCAACATCCTTTTTGCTGGTGGTGGGAGTTGTGTGCCTTTGCTGGCACCACAAGGGCGAGGTATCGGCTGGGCCTATTTCCACTGACTGCTCTGTAAATACTGCTCTGTACTTGCGTGCCATGCACGTTCAGCACTTTGTTGCATCGTCTTTTCTGCAGTCAGCACTTGCCCCTTCATTTGTTCATTGGTTTCCTGAAGAGCCAAACTGTGGAACTGATTCGCAGTGTCGCTGTGCTCCTCATTACTTCTTGCCCATTGCATTTAAAGCCCTGAGCCTAGGAACGTTAAGCACTCAGATACCCGAGAACAGGAACCAGGAGCCCTTTCCTGATGGAAGGAGGCAAAAACCATTTGTGGCAAAAAGGTCCAAACCGTCAGTAGGAAGCTGGGGGCGAGCAGAGGAGAAATGGGCTCCATGTGAACAGGTGGCACAGGGTGGAGTCACCAGATAGTTCAGGGGCACAAACTCAAATGCTGTTTTCTCCTGAAAATATATTTTAAACCCCACCTTTCCAAAACCTAATTTCTGAGTTGAATAATTTTGTAAACAGGCTTCTCCTGGCAAAAATGGGCATCTGCCCCTTGCCCTCACAGGGTGAGGACAGGCTCAGCTCTCGTGGCTGGGAAAGGTGGACACGGTGGAACAGAAGGGGTTTGATATATGAACTGGTAGTTCATTTACTAAGACAGATTTGTACCAGATACCTGGTTTGCAGAGCAGGACTGGAGTGATGGGTCTGCCAGTCTCTGTAGGCTCTGCCTACAAGCATAGGGTCTTGCAGCTGTGACACTGTGAGCTAATTGAATCCTATGGAAAAGTAGTTCTTGGTGGCTGTCCATGGGTGAAGCCCGCTCACTGTGAAGTTTAAAGCCACTTAAGTGCCTGCCTTGTATGGTGAAAAACAAAGTACTGGCCAGGTAGCATGTGGAAAATGGAGCCCCACGGAGTGTAAGGACCAGAATGCTTTGCAGGCGTAAGGGGACTTACACGAGCTGATACGTTACATGAAAATATAGCAAACACAAATATTACTGAGTGATCAAGCAATTAAAAAAAATAATACATCATCCAACAGGTAGCATTCATGCTTCAGAAACCTACCCAGTTGTTCTGCGGAGTGAGCAGCCTCACCTTTGAATTTGCCATATACGTCATGCCCTGGGTTGCTTTAGGAAATCGGGTAAGATGCGGCAACTACAAATAACCTGTTCTGTGCAGACACTGGCCTCACTCATATAAACTCTTAGGGCACTTTTACACGTCCATCGGAGCAGACTTGATTAATCCCACTATCGCTGTGTTTGCGCCAGGTTTGCTGGGCACATCTTGTGTGGCTTGTGCACTTTTTCATGCTGTTCTAACTGACAGAGGTTGCAGCTGAAACAAAGTTCCAGAAATGTTACAAGGATAATTAATTAAATACATGTGATTAATCGACTCTGCTGGAGTATTGTAATTGGAACGCTCCAATGTACTGCAGCGCTCTGTGTTCAGGGTCCCACGTTTCAAAATGACGGCGGGGGTGCTTTGACTAAAGCCCATTGAACGAGCCTTAGTTAAAGCGCCCTCACCGCCATCTTGTACTGCGGGACGCTGACCACACGAGGCGCTGCGGGTGGTTTAATTAGAGCGGCTCTAATGAAAGTGTCCCACCCTGGAGCACGTGTGTAAGCAGCCTTAGGCGCTTGGTTCCTTCCAAACATTATCTGTCGGCAGGTTCTTTCCCACTATCAGTGCGTCCGCACCAGGTTTGCTGGGCACATCTTGTGTGGCTTGTGCACTTTTCCATGCTGTTCTAAGTGACAGAGGTTGCAGCTGAAACAAAGTTCCAGAAATGTTATGAGAGCAAGGATAATTAATGGAATAAAAGTCCAGACAGGAGGTGAGCTCCCTTGCCCAGTCACAAGTAGGTGACAACAGCACTGTCCTCAGAGAAGCTGGCCCAGTCCACGTACCTGCTGTTCCCGCAGCTTTCCTCCTGCTCGTGTGACTTGCGCGGCTCATGGCGACCTGTTCGTTCAGGTGACTGACACCTGGCAGCCAGTTTTTGCTCTTCTGTGTTAAGGCATCTGTGTCAGGAAAGTCCGTAAACTGCCTCTTTGCGATGTTCCCACCCAGCTGAGCCACGGTGACTTTCTCTCTGTGGTGCCCAGGCTTTGGGTGTGATATCTGGGGAATTTTCACTTATGTGATTTTTAACTCTCTCTTCCAGATTTTGCAAGAGCGAGGTTCCAGGATGTGAAGACAGTATTGAACACTGAAGATTTTTTTCCTCTTTTATTCCAAGATGCAGTGAATTGTCACATGGAAGAGGCTTGGCTGTGAAATGAAGAGATCTGATTTAGACAATTTTCTGTTGCTCTGGGTTGAACCATTTTTGCCTATAAGCTGGTATAAACTGGCTGAAAGCACTGCAAGATTACTGAATGGGAATAGATTTTGTGAGAGTGTGTTAAGTTTTGGTTCTAGTGCATGGTTGTACTCTCTCGTGGGCTGACTAATACTGGTCACATGGAAAGAAACCACCATGCACTCCTTTTTTCCTCTGAGACATGTAGCACTTCCACCTGGTGCTGGCTGACCCAATGTCGATCAGTTTGAAGTGGTTTTGGTATTAATCATGAAAACAATTAAAGGACAATGTACTTGGTGCTACGTATATATTACAGCCCGTAAATGCAAATATTTGGGCCTACATTGTTTGTTTCAGAATCAATGGCAGCCCCAGTTTACTGTCTTATACTGCACATTCCTTATGGCTCTGTGACACGCTCTCGTATGTCAGAAAGGTGTAGGAGATCAGCTGAGACTAGCATGTAAAAAATTACACTCCAGGCAGAGGTCCCATAGGAGAGGAAGGGTGCGCATCATGGCTAGAGAGAGGGCTTATTTCAATATACAAAGGGAAGACTAAACTTAGAGAAAATGTCCCTTGTCTGAGTCATTCCTCCTGTCAAAACTTCCTCCTGGAAAAGTTAAGCTCCAGTCTTAGCCAGATGTTCAAAAAGAGAATCGGTAATTTTTAAAAATGAATTTTACACCTGAGCATCTGGTCTATTTTTTCCAAGTGTCTGCTCTACCCAAACGTATGTACTTCTTAAATTGCCTGCAAGTGTTGAGTTCCTCTTGGATTTCATTAGGTATTTTTGAGAGTTGGAGCGTGTACGGATACGTGGCCGGTTAGTGCTAGATTCCAATCTCTTGTGAGTGGGTTTAAAATTGCCCTGAAGTGTGAACATGAACTCGCCCAATTAAAAATTGGAATTAATTGCTTTGAATATTCAGGATGTTTACAAGTCCATCTCCTTGTTGTTTCAACTATGCAGTTCTTTCTGATTTTTTTCTAAGAACGCTGCGTGGAAACACTTGACTCAGTTTTTTTGGGACAGGCCTGTGGTAACTTAATACATAAGTCTGGGGCGTTTGTTTTAAACAAAACCATTACCATGATCTTTGAATTTGATGGAACCAAATTGACAGTAGGAAAGCTCTCAATTCTTGCAGCTTCACTGGCCTGCACAGCTTCAGATGGAGCAGCTTAAAAAGGCTCGTCAGAGACTGTCTGGAATTCTAAACGCATTTCAGCCTGTTTAATGAAACAACCTCAGCATCTGTGCATATACCATATCTTCTACCACTGAAGCATGTAATGCTTCACGTGAAACCAGACTTGCAAGCGCCTAGGGTCCACCTGTAGTTTTTTTTAAACTGTTGTACGCTGGGAAAAGTTTGCCTGGAACTGTTTGTAAAACCATTTCTACTGAGTAGGGCAAGCAATGGGCTCAGTGGCCGTCCATGCACTGAATGCTTGAAAGGGTTTGTAACGTGTTCTGCTCCGTGGGCACGGCCTGCACGGGAGGCTGCTGCCCCTCTGCAGTACCACATACAATGCTTGTCTTTCTTTAAGGTGTTAAAACATAATTGAATTTACTAAAATGGAATTATTCTGCAGGGGAAATGTTTATACTTTTTATACTTTTTTAGGCATCCATATTTTATCAGGTTAGAGTTAATGCCTAAATTTCCCCTAGATAGTAATAAGTAAATCCTATGTATCTGAAGATAAGCATAATAATTGTTTGTTTCAAACTGCATATTAAAGCACTTCCTCAGCTGCAATAGCCACTGTGTTTCAAGCAGCTTGACATGACCCGTGTTCTTCAGCCTCGGTGGCTCGTGGAGTTGCAGCCTGTAGGGCTT